TGCCCCTGCGCGGCGGGATTGACCGTTGCTTGTGGCTGGAGGACTGAGAAACGAGGGTGCAAGCCATAATTAGCGTAGAATGGGGACACTCCTGTCGACTCGTGAGTTGCGTTGTTGTACGCAAACTCTGCAAGTGGCAGGAGTTCCAACCAGTCATCCTGCTGGTATGACATAACAGCGGAGATACTGTTCCAGGATCTGGTTCACCCGCTCGGTTTGCCCGTTGGTCTGCGGGTGAAACGCAGATGAGAGATTGACCGTGGCACCGAGCAGTTCCATGAGTCGCCTCCAGAAGCGGGAGACAAATTGTGGGCCCCGGTCGGACACGATCGTGTCTGGCATCCCATGCAGTCGAGCAACCTCACGGATGAACAGCGAGGCGGCCTGTGGAGCAGTGGTTGTTTTGGTACATGGTACGAAGTGAGCCATCTTGGTCAGGCGACACACGACGACCATGACCGAGTCCATTCCCTTTGCTGGCGGTAGGTCCGTTATGAAGTCGACTGATGTTGAGCCCCAAGGCCGATTTGGGACTGGGAGTGGTACCAGGAGGCCACTTGGAGGGTGTCTTGGAGTCTTGGCCCGTGCACACGTATCACATGTGCGCACGTAATCGGCAACATCACGCTTCATTCCGGGCCATCTGTGGTCACGACTGAGCAGCTTGTACGTCTTGGAGATCCCGAAATGTCCTGCGAGCGGACTGTCGTGATACTGACGCAGTAACTCAAGCTGGCGTTCCGGGCTTGGGGGGTGGTGCTGGTCGTCCTGACTTGGGAGAGGGTCGGCCTCTTCTGTACCATCCGGATGCGTATCGTCCAGGTCATTTGGGCAAGCGTGCGCATCCTCCTTGTCGAGGTCGCTCTCGTCGTCGTCGGCCTCGTCTTGATGGATGGCGCTGGCTAGGACTTGTTCGGGTCGTATGAGCGGCTGTTCGACCCGGGCGGAGCCTTCTCCCTCCTCAAAGCCATGCTCCGCCCTGCGAGACAAGGCGTCGGCCTTGGTGTGGAGCTTGCCAGGTCGGAAAGTAATGACAAAGTCAAAGTTTGCCAGGGTCATGGCCCATCGTGCTTGGCGTCCGTTGAGCGCCCGTGCGGTCATGAAATACTGCAGATTTCTGTGGTCGGTGTGGACCGTGACTCGATGTGCCGATCCGACCAGGAAGTGCCGCCATCTCTTGAATGCATCCACGATGGCGAGCAACTCCTTGTCATGCACATCGTAGCGACTCTCGTTGGGCAGCAGCTTTCGGGAGTGGAAGGCTACGGGGCGTAGCACATCCTCCCCGTCCGGCTGCGAGAGTACTGCTCCGATGGCAAAGTCGGACGCATCAGTCTCGACCACAAATGGGGCATCCATCCTGGGATGTGCAAGGACGGGTGCGGACGTAAAGGCTTGTTTGAGTGAGTCGAATGCATGCTGTGCCTTGGGTGTCCACGCAAAGGGGATGTCCTTGCGAGTAAGTTCGTTGAGCGGGATTGCCACGGAGGAGTATGCGTTGATGAATTGTCTGTAGAAATTTGCAAATCCCAGGAACCGTTGCACTCCCTTGACCGAGTGGGGAGGCTTCCATTCGATAACAGACTGGACTTTGGCCGGGTCCATGCTGATACAGCCTGTAGATACGACCTAACCAAGGAATTCGACCTCTTGGCAATCGAAGAGACACTTTTCGAGCTTGCCGAAGAGCCCGTGGCTTCTGAGGCGAGAGAGGACTTCCCGGACGTGTTGATCGTGTGTCTCCTGTGATGGCGAGAACACCAAAATGTCATCCAAATAGACGACCACATAGGTGTCTAGGAGGTCACGGAACACATCGTTAAGGAAATGCTGAAACACGGCGGGTGCATTCGTGAGCCCAAAGGGCATCACTAAGTACTCGAAGAGGCCGAACGGGGTGCGGAAGGCTGTTTTCCATTCGTCGCCTGCACGGATGCGTACAAGGTTGTACGCACCGCGCAGGTCGATTTTCGAAAACACCTTTGCCCCGCTCAGGCGCTCGAGCAGTGCGGGAATCAGTGGAAGCGGATACCGGTTCCGAACTGTGATCTTGTTCAGGCTTCTGTAGTCAACACACAAGCGCAGTGTGCTGTCTTTCTTCCGAACGAATAGGACAGGGGAGGCCGCGGGAGACTTGGACGGGCGAATGAATCCCTTCGCAAGATTCTCGTCCAAGTACTCCCGTAGTGCTTTCGTTTCTTCCACCGACAGATTGTAAATGGGACCGAAAGGGGGGGACTTGTCGGGGACGAGGTCGATGCTGCAATCGTATGGGCGGTGGTCGGGCAGTCGGTCTGCCTTTCCCTTACTGAACACATCGGCAAAGTCACCGTACTTCTCCGGCAATGTAGCTGGAGGATTGCTTCCTCCAGTTGGGTGAGAGGCGGCAACAACGATGGGAGTCGTCGGGATATCGACGGTCCCGGCCGCCCAGTCGGCTGTGGGATTGTGCTGGTGAAGCCAAGGCAAGCCAAGCACAACTGGCGCGTGCGGGCTGGGCATGAGATCGAGCACGAGGGGCTGCTCGTGGCCGCCGACCGCAATCGTCAGCGGTTCGGTCTCTTCGGTGATCGTGGGAAGGGCGTGTCCGTCGATGCCTTCCGCAGCCAGTGGCTTGTCTTTGGTGTGGATGGCAAGTCCCACTTCCTTGGCAAACGTGGGATCGATCAAGCATGCGGAGCATCCGCTGTCGACCATGGCGAGCGTTGGGGCCACGAGGTCACCTTGTTGGAGCTGGATGGGGATAAGGAACAGCTTGGAGTCTTGGCGGCGTGCAATCATTGACAAAGCGGCAACCATATGCACGCAGTCGGGGTCGGGCGTGTCGCCACCACCATGCGGGGGGCATGTGGTGGGGGCGGTGTTGGCTGTGAGGGGCGTGCTGCCAGGTGGGGGAGCATGTGGGGGGACTGGGGCATGGGAAGTCTGCTTTGGGAAGTGGATGGGCAGGTTGCTGGACTCGAGGATGGGTGGGTGCATGAGGTAACGGAGGTCCACCTTGGCCCGAGGGCAAGTGGTAGCGGCGGTGGTCGAGGTGTTTGAGAGCGGCGCATGCTCTTGGACGGGTCGAATGGTCTGGGGCTGGGGGGCGGCCTGGAAGAACGAGGCGGGGCTGGGTTGCGGGATGGGTACGGGTCGGGGAGTTAGGGCAGGTTGGGCCTTGGGATGGGCGGTAGCAATTGGTCTTTGAGGTTTGGAAAAGACTTTATTGCTGACATTGTCGGTCAGCGCCAGAGCAGCGGCCCTTAGAGGCTCTGGCGCATGTCGTTTCCCGACTCGGTGTTGGTTCGGCGGTTGGGGCAGGCCTTGACAAAGTGTCCGGCCTCCCCGCAGTACAGGCAGAGATTATTGGCTCTGCGATGTCTGCGTTCGGCTTCGCGGGAGGCTGAACCGGAGCCGGGGACTTGAGCCACCAAGGGGTCGTCTTGGGCTTCCTTGAATCCTGCGGGTGGAGGCAGCTCGAGGTTGGGACGGCGAGGGCGGCGGTCCTCCTCGAGACGGCGCTGGTAGATGCGGGCGTCGAGGCGAGTCGCCACTTCGATGAGCTCGTCAAGCGTGGCAGGCAGCTCGCCTCGAATCGCGAGCATGTCTTTGACGTCGGTGTTGAGCCCGCGGTAATACTGGGCGATCAGAGCCTGTTCGTCCCAGTGGATCTCCGCTTGGAGGAGCTGGAACTCGGAGGCGAAGATCGCAACAGACCGCTTGCCTTGGGTGAGGCGCATGATAGCGCCTTCAGACCGGACGACGGAGTGCGGGTCGCCAAAACGAGCTTCGAGCTGGCGAACGAAGGTGGCAAAATCTTGGATGGCGGGGCTCTCCGTTGCAACGAGGCTGGCGAACCAGTCTGCGGGTAGTCCGGCGAGCAATGTGCCCACAAGGCCCACCCGGTGACGGTCCGTGGGGTAGCGGGCCTCGTGGATGGACAGGATGATCTTGACTTGGGTCAGGAAGGAACGGAAGCGACGACGGTTGCCGTCAAATGGGTCAGGGAGGCGGAGAGGAGCGTCGGCCATGGCAGGCAAGGTAAGAAGAGGAATCAAATGTCACGGACGGGCAGGGCTGGAGAGGACGGAACGGCGGGCGAGGCTCGAGCGAAGGCAGGACGGAAGCGAGGCGACGGCAGGGCGGAAGCAGGACGGGATCGGGGGGACGGGGACTGGAGACGGTCGTTTATTTGGCGAACGACGCAGGGCAAGGCGGAGAATACAGGTGATTCCTCTTGCTGGGCCTCTCGGGCGACGGGGATGGCGCCTTTTATAGTTTGGGCCCAGCAAGAGTCGGTGCGGGGAACCGGGTCGAGGTTCCCACGCTGCGTCGCTCAGTCTGCGTGCACGCGCTATGTGACGAACACGCCGGTTCGTCACACTAGCCTCGCTAAGATCAATAAAACATATTCTCTATTCTTCTTCTTTTGACTTCCTCTTGATCCCGTGATCTGACAGGTTTCCTGCCTCCCCCACCGCTCGGCACATGTCCCCGGGCTGTGCCAAGCCTCTCTCGCTTGCACACCAGCCACTCTCGCACCCCCTTCTCGCTTCTCTGTAATGCTCCACCCTTCTCGCCCACTTTTGCCCCTCGACCTTCTCCCGGTCTATAAATAGCTCTGCATGTCTGAGCCTATGTTGAACACCAGTTCGAACAAAACTTGTTCTTTGGTGTTCGGGGCTAAAAGCTAATAAAGCTCATACCAAGCACTTGGTCTTCGTCCTTGCGCTTGTTCACTCCTCACATGGGCCTCGGGAGACCAAGAGAAGGTGGAGGATTTTGTCACGTCCTGCGCAGCCAAGGGCAAGGCTCCTTTCCTTTCTTGGCCTATAAAGGGCCTGAACCCCCTCCATACGTGCTTGCACCCTCGTCTCTCGTTATCTTGTCCAGTTGCACCACTCCACGGATCGCAGCAGGGACCCACAGGCCTTTGCCCGAGAATAATCATAACTTCATAGCGAGATACCACTTGCTGTGGGTACCCTCCGAAATCAAGACTAGTACCATCCGCCATTATGCCACCCGAGACCAGAAACCAGAAGAACGCCGCACGACCGGAGGATCGGGAGACACCCGATACCCCAGCCACCGCCGACTCCACGACCAGGGCCACAGGCCATCGTGATGACCCGGAGACCGAAGGAAACAGAGGTGAGAGGCAGAAGCGCATGTCTGCCTCCGAAGAACTTTGCATCGAACTAATGGAACAGCTCGAGGAGCTAAAAGGGACGATCGGGTCCCTACAACGCCGTATCGAAGTGCTCGAGAGAGCAGAAACACCCAGGAGCCAAGCCTCAGACCCCTCGCCGATCGAGGCGCCCTCTCCCTTCTCAGGAAGCGATGCCTCCCAGCTCAAACCCTTCCTGAGACAGCTCAAATTGTATTTCTTCAACCAGCCCCGACGGTTCTCGAACGATCGCGAGAAGGTGGTCCACCCCCTCTCCCTTCTGAAGGGAGACGCCTTCAGCTTGTTCGCACCGATGGTTGATGACTACGGGTTTGAAGATATGCCGTTTGAAGCTCTCTGTACCCAACTTCAAGAAACCTTCCTGCCCAATAACCACCTGGATCAAGTCTCCCGAGACCTCAAGTCAATTAAGCAGACCAGCACTGTAGCTAACTACATCACTCGTTTCAACCTCCTGCGCCGAGAACTCACCCCCCCTTGGCCTGAACATCTCCTGTGCCTGACCTTCAGGGAAGGTCTCAACCCCAAGATTAGGGAACTCCTTCCAACACACCTTATCCGGGCCGGGAACCTGGCCGAGATCGTAGAAGCTGCCATCGACTGCGACCTCCGCAGGCAAGAACTCGAGGACGAGGCCCGCTTCGCCGAGAGGATGTTAGAGTCCAAAGGGGACTCAACGGCAAAAGAAGAAGTGAGCTCGAAGTGAGCTCAGGGAAAGCAAGGGTAGAGTCCGAAGTGGACTCGGAGAGGGAGCGAGGGAAGCAAAGATCCGTTCAAGATAAGACTTGTCTCGAAATGAGACGTGAGGAACACTCAGAGAATAAAGTAGAAGGCACTTTATTTAGTCCTATTTTGAACGCTGAGGTTCGACTACACATCGCGGGGGTCAGGCTATTTATAGATAAGTCCGGACTTGGCAGCGAAGGGCGGCCAAGGGAGGGAAAAGTGGGCGATCGAGCAGGGCGAAGGGGGCGATGCACGAACGAGGGCCGAGAAGGACCACCGAGACAGGTAGAGAACCAAAGCGAGAGAGGCGCAAGCAAAAGCGAAGCACCTGGCAGGAGAAACGTGCAAAAGCGAAGCAATGTGACTCAACGTCCAAGAAGCGGATTGGTCAAAGAACAGATTGGGGCGAACGCATGCAAGATAGGCGAGGGTTTGGGGTGGTCAGGCAGGTCATGAGTCACCGGTGGGGGGACACATGACCGGCAGCCGAATTGCAACCAATCGCAGCAAGGCGCGTGCACAAACAAACCGGCGCGTGCGAAGAAGACAAAGGAAGCGGAGCAGCGCGGGGAAACGGAAGTGCGGAATGGGCGGAAATGGCAGGCAAAGGGCGGAAAATTGGAGGGGAACTGCAAGGCTACACACAAACAAACAGAAAGGCTAAAGAACAGCCAAGTGTGCAGTCAAAGTGGAGAACAAGCAGGAGCTATCCCTAACATCATCCCCTTCCTTAGCGACGAACTCCGGGCGTCGCCTTCGGCTTTGAGGGATAGCGAAGGTGGAAATCAGCAACAAGATCAGTGGCGTGGGAAACATTGGCAGCGGGCTCCCAAGACCGGTCAGTCTCGGGATAACCCTTCCACTGAACCAAGTACTGTAAGCGACCGCGGAAGAGCCGAGAATCGAGAACAGTCTCGACCTCAAACTCTTCCTGGGAGTCAACAAGAATGGGAGGTGGTTCAGGTTGTGTGAACTCGGGAACAATGTCCTTCGTTCGGGGTTCAAGGAGGGATACATGAAAGACGGGGTGGACTTTGAGTGTGGAAGGGAGTTTAAGTTCAAAGGCAACGGGGTTGATGCGGCGAAGGACTTTAAAGGGGCCAAGCTTTTTCTGGTCAAGCTTGTTGGAGGGACGAAGGGTGCGGATGTGGCGACGATCAAGAAAAACGAGGTCGCCAACGGAGATGTCGGGGGTGGGGAGACGGGATTTGTTGGCCTGCACAGTGTAGGACTCTTGGGCAACCCGGAGATTGGCCTTGAGATCCTCGAGAACGGTCTGAAGTCGGTCGACACGTTCTTCGGCAGAGGGCACAACAGAGGGATCACGGATGATAGAGGGATCGAAAATGGGGTGATGGCCATGGACTGCAAAGAAGGGAGTCATGCCAGTGGAGGTGTTTTCCGAGTTGTTGTAAGTGAACTCGGAAAGGGGAAGGTGAAGGGTCCAGTCGTCTTGCAGGTAATTGCAATGGATACGCAAATACTGCTCGATGACCTGGTTGAGAACCTCGGTCGAACCGTCGGTCTCGGGGTGGAAGGCAGAAGAAAGGGAAATCTTCGTCTTCAGAAGCTCATTGAAGCGCCTCCAGAAGGCCGAAGTAAACTGAGTTCCTCGGTCCGAAACAATAGACCGGGGACAACCATGCAAGCGGAAGATGTGGGAGAGGAAGAGTTCGGCGGTTTGCTCGCCTGTAACCGTCTTCGTGGTGGGCACAAAGTGTGCTTGTTTGGACAGGCGGTCCTTAACCACGAAGATCGAGTCAAAGCCGTTCGAAGGTGGGAGATCCGTGATGAAGTCCATCGACAGGTCCCACCAACGTTCGGAAGGAACGGGGAGAGGGTGAAGTAAACCATAAGGGGAGTGACGGGACGGCTTGGCTCGCTGGCACGCTTCACAATTAGCAATGAAGCGACGCACAGACTTACGAAGCCGGGGCCAGTGAAAGTCCCGGGAGATGAGCTCAACGGTCTTGGCAAGACCAAAGTGACCAGCGGCAGCGGAGCAGTGACGTTGCTCAAACACTTTGAGCTGGAGCTCGGGGGAAGGGACAACGATCAGGTCTTTAAAGTAAAGGAGACCGTCACGGAAGGAGTAATCGCCATCAAGACGTTTGGCGTTAAAATCAGAAAGAAGGGAACAAGAAAGGGTGGCCGCTCGAATCTCGGAAAGAAAGTCGGGGTTCGAGCCGATAACGGTGATGCTGTCGAGAGAAATAGACTCGAACAGCTGAAGGAAGTTGGTGGAGTGGAGGGAGTCACCAGGCTTTATCTCAAAGTCAGAACGGCGACTGAGAGCGTCGGCTTTGGTGTTGAGGCGACCAGGGCGGTGGTAAATGCGAAAAGCAAAGTCAGAAAGGAATTGGGCCCACCGGAACTGGCGGCGAGAAAGTTGGGAAGCGGCAGTGAACCGGGTGAGGTTCTGGTGATCAGAGAAGACAAGAGTGGGATGATCGGGGTCGGCAGCCATCAAGTAATGACGCCAGGCAGTAAAGGAATCGACAATAGCAAGGAGCTCTTTGTCGTGGGTGTCATAATTCACCTCGGCGGGACGGAATTGCCGAGAGTGAAAAGCAACGGGGTGAAGAGCGCCGTCAGGGTCAAACTGGGAAAGGACGGCACCCAGAGCAAAGTCAGAAGCATCGGGCTCGATGACAGCGGGTTTAGAGAAATCAAAGTATCGAAGAATAGGTGCGGAAGTGAAGGAAAGTTTAAGAGAATCAAAAGCCTCTTGGGCCTCGGGAGACCAAGAGAAGGTGGAGGATTTGGTAGTGAGGGAAGTCAAAGGACGAGCAAGTGCGGAAAAGTCCTTGACGAAGCGGCGGTAAAAGTTTGCGAAACCAATAAAGACTTGGATATCGCGAGCAGAAGAGGGAACAGGCCAAAGGGAAACGGCCTCGACCTTGGCAGGGTCCATTTTGATGCCATCGGCAGAAATGATCATGCCGAGAAAGTCAACTTCAGAAAGGTCAAAAGAACACTTGGCCGGATTGACCTTAAGGGAGTGTTCACGAAGGCGAGAGAGAACAAGCTTAACATGCTCCTCATGCTCCTGGGGATCTTTTGAGAAGATCAGGATGTCGTCAAGATAAATGACAACACAGACACCAAGGAGGTCCGAGAAGATGTCGTTCATAAAAAACTGAAAAGCAGCGGGGGCATTCGAAAGACCAAAGGGGATAACATTGTACTCAAATGAGCCAGATTTGCAAACAAAAGCAGTCTTCCACTCATCGCCCTTCTTGACACGAACCAAGTGGTAAGCATCAGGAAGGTCGAGGTGTGAGAAGACGCGGGCAGAAGAAAGTTTATCCAGAAGATCCTGGAAGAGGGGAAGTGGGTAACGGTTCTTCTTCGTGATGGCATTGAGGCCTCGGTAGTCGACGCAAAGGCGAAGACCACCATTGGGCTTCTTCACGAAGAAGCAGGGAGCACCAACGGGAGAAGAGGATTTGGAGATCCAACCACGTGCGAGGGCGTTGGTCAGATACTCCGAAAGAGCAGATTCCTCGGCCGGGGACAAAGGATAGACTTTCCCCGGCTTTGGCAAACGAGGTTCCTTTCCATCCTCGGTCCGTACAAACTCAATAGACAAGTCATACGGACGATGAGGAGGCAAGGAAGAAGGAGGGTCAGACTTGAGGCTGAAAACGTCGCCAAACTCATTGTATTTGAGTGGGACACCTCGAGAGTCAACAGGGGTGCCAGACTCGGCATACACCTTCGTCGTGAGCACGGACCTTATCGACACCGTAGGATACGTCTCCGGCGAAGGAGGACGGATATCCATTTGGGCAGCGAAAATGTCGAGCTTGTCTTCCCGTGCAAGACTGTAAGGAGTGAACAAGCGCAAGGACGAAGACCAAGTGCTTGGTATGAGCTTTATTAGCTTTTAGCCCCGAACACCAAAGAACAAGTTTTGTTCGAACTGGTGTTCAACATAGGCTCAGACATGCAGGGCTATTTATAGACCGGGAGAAGGTCGAGGGGCAAAAGTGGGCGAGAAGGGTGGAGCATCACAGAGAAGCGAGAAGGGGGTGCGAGAGTGGCTGGTGTGCAAGCGAGAGAGGCTTGGCACAGCCCGGGGACATGTGCCGAGCGGTGGGGGAGGCAGGAAACCAGTAGACGCGGGTGGCAACGGCGCGTGCTCATGCATGGGGGCAAACAAACACGTGGGGACTCATGATTGGTGCGGAGGGCGAGAGCATGCGGGACAATCTCATTGGTCCGTTGTGATGCTGGTCATCACACTATCTCCTCCTTAAACTACGGCGTGTTCCATCTTGAGTTCTCCTGGGGCCAGGCTTGTCTGGGTAGCGTCGGTGGTACTCCGCGGCCACCGTTGGGGCAAAGACAATGTCGGCGGGCTCCCAACTTCGATCGGTGACCGGGTAGCCTTTCCAATCGATGAGATAGTGCAGCTTTCCGCGCACGAACTTGGAGTCTAAGATCTCTTCGACCTCCCACTCCAAGTTCCCATCGATGACCACCGCAGGGGGCGGCGCTTGCACCCGACCCGGAAGCGAGTTCTTCTTGTAGGGCTCAAGAAGAGACACATGGAACACCGGGTGCACCTTTATGTCCTTTGGCAAGTCCAGGCGGAAAGCCAATGTCCCGACGGCCTCGAGGATGGTGAATGGTCCAATCCTCTGGTAATCCAGCTTCTTGCTTGGGCGAGTGGTGCTGATGTTACGAGTCAGCACCCAGACTTGATCGCCCGGACGCAAGTCGGGAGCCTGGGACCTCCGGAGATCTGAGAAGTGCTTGTAGTCAGACTTTGCCTTCTCAAGATTCTCCTTCAACAGTGCCAGGTTCCGCTGGAGATGTTCAACCCTCTCCGTGGCAGAGGGAACATCAGGGCCGCCAGCGACAACGGGGACTTCGAACCTTGGGTGGAACCCATAGGTTGCCAAGAATGGCGAGGCATGTGTTGACGAGTTCTCGAGGTTATTGTAAGAGAACTCGGCCAACGGCAGCAGCTCGGCCCAGTCATCTTGCTGAT